CAGCGGCTAATGAGAAGGAAGCAATCGAGAGTGGATATGGATGCCAGGATACCAGGCCGTAATGAGTTCCTTTCACTGCACCGCTGCTACTCTTCGTAGTAAAGGAAGGCGAAACAAGGCGCGACAAATTACGCGGCCTACGCTGCGTATGCGTTACGTGAGAGATGCTTGGAGACGCCGAGAGCAGCAGCAGCGGCTTTTGATGAATGAAACAAACACACTCTGGCACACACACACCCGCAGTACACCCGCAGCACACCCGCAGAGACCGATGCCGACGCTGACAGCGCTGCTAGCAAGCATTTTGCGCGGTAGCTAGCTATATTTCGAATTTGAATTCGATTTAGCTTCTAGTACTGTTTTACAAACCGACGAGTCAGGTTCTACTGCCGCTGCCAGCAGAACAGACCCGACCAGATCGGAATCGGAATTGCTGAGACAGATCAGTCAGTCGCTATAACGCCGCGAACTATAGCCAACGCGCTGCAGATCCCGAAAACTAATACCGATACCGATCCTACCCCATCGTTTTTTTTGGGCCCGTGCCTGAAGGATTAATAATTATTGCCCGGCCTGAGGCAAATGTGAATGCTTTTGATTGTAAGTGCTCCCAGAACTGCATAGCATATTGGAAAACAATTCAAATACATTACTAAGTGTTGCTAAAAAACAATTAAATGATATGGAAAAAGACTAAACTTGAATGTATGCATCCTGTGCTGTGATAAAAAATATTGAAAACACATTGTGAAATCCTTTAAAGGATCATAAGGCTAATCTTTATTATATAAATTATATTCTTTGTTTTTGTTTTCAAAAGACTGTGGATAATTGGGTAAGTTTCTTTTCTCTAGATGACGCTGTTTTTAAACAAATAATAAAAAGGTTCGGACAGGACATAAGTAATTTGTTAAATATTTAAATATTCAAAAGTCAAAAGAAAATTTATAGTTCAACGTTGGGAAATACAATTAACAAATCAATAAATCATATTTAAGTGTCATTACTTGGCTTAATGGTATGTTGTAAAAATTTTATGAAAGGGACAACTTATTTAAGTAATTGTTTAATATTTTGCAATGTCTACATATATAATTATATTTATATAATTTCTGTCACCCTGGCTACAAGGTTTAGGTTTTAAAATTATTAAATATAAAGGCAATATGTCCTTGCATCAATTTTACATTGAATTAATTGTGTACACCTATCTAGAACCATTTTTAACTTAACAAATATCTTGAAAAATGTAAAACTATAAGGAAAATGATCTATTATATATATTTTTTTAAGAAATATATTGAAAATTAACTACAGGCTGGCCACCAGTTAACTTTCATTTACTTTCTCGATGACATTGCATCGATTTACTCTTCCTTAGGCACACGAGAGAAGCGTGAATAATTTCCGATTAATCAGACTGATAAGATACTGAACCACCGCCGCCCCACTGACCTTGATAGAACCGCCTACCAGCCTCTATGGGGCGTGTCAGACAGCTTGCTTTCTTTTTTAATTCTTTTTATTTTTAGCGCACTATGCATTTTGTATGCTCGATGCACCAAAATAGTTTTATCTCTCTTCTCTGTTGCCATAATAATGCAAAAATGAGAGAGAAAATATATATATATTAAACAATTTGTAAATATATAATTTCTAGCGAGATAAGCTAATAAAATATTTGTTGATTTCTGAGAACCTCCCACAGTTCTCACCCTAATAAAATCGGTTTATATGATAGCATCGTGAACAGATAATATTTAGCTCTCAGCGAAATACTGTTCCAACCGAGAATGATTCAGTTTTATCTTAATCACGTTTGTGATATGTTTTAAAATATTTCAACCGTGTGCTAGTCGCGTTTTTTAAATCGGTTTAATATTCGCGGAACCAGAGTGATTCTCTACAGATAAGGAAAAGCTGTGCTACCGTTTTCGAGATAGTCAGACAGACAGTCTATAGGCTGGGGCCATCGCACGAGTCAAGATTATTTAGTCATATATATTTGTATATACCTACAAGGTGTATTTTTCTATATATTGTGTACATAGAACCTCGTAAATGCATTTCTAAGCCCATTAAAATATGGGCGAATATTTGTCAACAAAATAAATATTCAACTCATTATTTTATATTCATTTTAATATATTTTATTCGCTTGTGCCAATGAAAATGTTTCGTGGTCGTTCCTATAAACAGCGCAAAAAGCCAAGTTGATCTATCTATGCTTATGCTTTAATTTCAAAGTTTATATACAAAAAAAGTAGAGATTGGTATTTCATTAAATCCACTCAATAATTTTATATATAATATATATTTCATTAAAATTGCAGTAAAAAGTTTCCGATCTTTTAATGGAAAATGCAATTAACAACATAAGGTTTTACGAGTACCCAATAAATGGTGATAATTGTTTTTATTTTACAAATATTGTAAAAATTCTTACTTGAGTTGCGTTCGATTTGGATTAAACTGGTTTTCCTTAGACGCTTTTTTAATGAATTTCCTCACATCAAAGACAAGTGGGTGGGTCATCGGGTCTCCTCTACGCCTTCACTTGGCAGCAAACCCCCTTCGAAATGCAAATCAATTTGCATTGACAATGAATTTGCAACTCGAACATGGCTCTGGATTCAGTTTGCATTGCATTAATTAGCTGGATAGTTATAGTAGTCGTGTATTATATAAGCCAAAGTACAGCGCATTAATTAGTATGCATCTCGAGACATATATATACATATGTATATATTTGTGTTTGACTATCAACAATAATAAACTTGTCCGGCATTTGCAGTCATGTAAACTGTCTGCCAATCAGAAATGCCAAAAGAGATGATTCCCATGAATATTTCCGTAGAATATTTCGGATATGGAAACCTACAGTTTACGATCCATGGGTCAATTAGTGCTTCGTGTTTTAGGATCTCGCTAATGAAGACAACAAGATCAAGTTCACGATCACGTTGGTGGCATGTGCTAAAAGTGTGTATTATATTTCCCCCCTAATTGCAATGATGACTTTTTCATCAACTGTTTGTCCATTTCCACTTCCGCTTGGTGTGAAAATGATCCTTTTCCCAATGAACTTGAGTGATGGAAAAACGGCCATTGATCAATGAAACTTCCGCTGCAATTGAATTGGAAATGCAACTGCGACAAATTACAAAAAATAAATTTACATCGTGCGCAACTTCTGCCTACGGATATATGTAAACAATTTCATTCACGGTCAAGTTCACAATGCGAAAATGTGAATAAATATGTCTAGCGAGGCCTAGTACATAAATAAAGTCTGACACTACTGGTCGCGTAAATATTTAAGTGCCAGTATATTAATCAAATAGATTGCTTATCTTATAATTAAACTACTTCCATTTAATGTACTCAATCACAAGTGCAAGCACTAAACGGTTCACTAATTAAACTATTGAGACAGACACCCAGTTTAGTTTTTGAATTTTTTACACGCCTCAGTAATCAAACTAAAAAACATTTCAGTTTGATTTAAAAGGTGTTTCTGTCAATGGGAACCTGCCCCAAAAGTAATACCCATCCCCGGATCTGGGCACATGCCAATCGTCCCACTCAGAATCGAGGCAGTCGGTGGCTCAATTTCAGGTCTGCTTTTGCTCTGTAGTTACATCAATTAGGTGAACCACAAAATGCCCCACCGCGAACACATAACGACATTATCATGCCGAAAGGCGTGGAGCACATGGGGTATTGTGATCAGTGATATCATTGTGAGATTTACAGGGAAAGTTCCATAAAAGCAACTATTTAATACCTATAAAAATATATAATTATGATATCAAATAGGTTTACTATAGGGTAGAAAACCTATTCCCAGTCATATAAATATTCAAATTATCCAGTTAAATAATATTTAAAGCCCCCCGTTTAGTGTAAATTACTCTTAAGAACCCTCTTAAATCTAACTAAGAGATCTCAGCCACTTGTTTAGTCACCCCTTGTTGTGGTTTTTATGGTGATCTCAGTGACTCTTTGTCTCCTCGTCAATTGCCATACAATTGGCTAAACTGTGCCAAAGTGTGAAGATTTTCTTGATTAATCCCGAATGGCGAGTCACGGATGCCAATTGAGAGGATATTGCGATGACCATGTGTCTGTCGGTCAAAATGTGGGTCAGTTTGTAAAGTCCGTATTGGAAACAATATCGGATGGCATATTGCCCTTGCACCGTCAACGAGATGTTAAGAAATTAGTTTTCATTAATTGAACGTTTATGTAAATTTATTTGTTTGACACGTCGTTACCCAAGCTTTCGATTAATTGAAATGCTGTTTTTCTAGGAATGCACTACGGCCTGTTGTTTTCACAGCATTTCTGCATAATGGGATATGGTGTCAGTGTTATATGAGTGCTAAACAACAAGCGTTAACTTCTTAATTGTTTTGGCAAAGTTTACTATATTTATTTGCTTGAATTGCACTTCCTTCCGCCCTCCGTCCTTCAATGGTATTTCCAAAATAATGCAAATATATACATATAAATCCAGCATTGAACAACATCCGTCCGGCATCGCGTCAAAAGTAACACCCCGTTTTTTCAGGGGCAAGGGATGAGGATGGATCACAAAAGCCCAGCTGCGTGAAATCCCTTGTTTTCGGGGGTTGTAATATCTGCGCAGTGCGAAAGCTCAGTCGTAGATCGATGTTCGCCCCGTGAGGAGGAAGTGTTGCTGCTCTAACCCCTTGAAAAACATCTGTCCAGCAAACAGTGTGGAACCAGTTTTTTTCAGTGAAACTCAAATTCCCTAGTTTAACTTATATAGAAAATATTTACCTATTCAAGGTACCATCTTAAATTGCAAATAACCAAAAAATTATTAAATCTAAAAGACTTTCTGCTTTATTTATAGGAAATCCTTTCTTAACTGAACGGAGGTTTTTCTGAAGCTTCTGACTCTCCTGCGTGAGGAGTGTTTCCAGCAGGACCCAGGGTTGTCCAGGTCCTAAGCATTTCCAAGGACTGCCACCATGACGCGACCCAAGCAGGATGAAAGTAAATTCAAGGCATTCATGCAGGAGAATGTCCTTACCATGGCCACCGTTATTGGTGTGTTTGTGGGAGGACTCGTCGGCTTTATTATTAAAAACAGCACAGGCGAGTGGACAAAGCGAGAGATCATGTACATATCCTTCCCGGGCGAGATCTTTCTGCGGTAAGTCATTAGGAAAGCCAAATTACTAAATAAGAAGATTACTTAATATATGTTCTGTTTTTCAGGATGCTTAAATGTTTGATTGTGCCGCTGTTGGTATCATCAATTACCAGTGCCATTGGTGGCCTGGATTTGAGCATGTCCAGCAAGATTGCCACAAGGTAAGTTAACTTCTCTCCATCTTAAGATATAGCTACTAATTAAATCGTAATCCTTTCAGAGCCATCACATACTACTTTGTGACCACCATATCGGCTGTAATTTTGGGCATTTGTCTGGTGACCACTCTGCGTCCCGGCCAGGGAGCCAAGATTGTGGAAACCCAGACGGAGAGCATTGATAAGGCCTCGAAGGTGCTCACTCCAGACACGCTTATGGATCTGGTGCGGTGAGTAATGACGATCTTCCTCCATATCCCTAAGACTAACTCTGATTCATTTCCTTATTATTTTTTAGAAACATGTTTACGGACAACATCATCCAGTCCACCATGTTCCAGGTGAGTCGCATTGCGCATACGCACTGTTGAGCTGTTGATTTTTGAGGGTAGCAACGGTAGCAATTATTCAATTCTCTGCGGTTCAGCGGAACTTTGATTGAAACAAAGCGCGACACATAATCAAAACTGACATGATAGGGATACAACAATTTCAATTACACACCAGAATCCCAGATTCAAGTGGAGGGGAATTTCACACACAACTGTTTGCTGGTTTTGTGAGTCTGTCCGTCTGTGCTGAAAATTTCAATTATCGCACATCGGCGAGATCGGAAGAGAGAGAGACTGTGTGTGCTGGAGATGAGAACGGGTCGTATCAGCACCGTTTAGGAGACCCCAGACGCAAATTGAATCAGAGTACTTAGCCAGGGGCTATGGCAGATATATGTGGACATTGTACCTCCGCATAAATAAATAATTATATGCACACTCGTGTAGATGGCACATGATGTTGTAGGTAGGCGGCCGAATGAATATTCATGCTCACAATTAGATTATTGTCGACTCAATGAAGGGGAATAACACACAATACGAAAGTCTCAAATGTTTCGAAAATGGAAAAGTACTGGAAAATACTCTACGGTAGCATGGAATTAACTTTTTGATACGATTTCAATCTAAATAAACTTATACTCTTGAAATTTTAGTCAAAAGCAGCAAAATCAGTGAAATAGTCATTTCCTACCCTATAAACCATATATATTATTGATCAGCAAAAACTGAACCGATCTAGCCATGTTCAAAAGAAAAATAATTTTATTCAAAATTTGAAATTTTTTATAAGGGGTTACTTTGTTAAAATGTTTAAAATTGTACAAAAAAAATGGAAAGTTTTAAATTTTAAAACTTAATATGCAGATTTGTTAACCTATTAAAAACTAGCAGAGAAAAGCGTTCCGAATTGAAATTAATCCATTTTTGGCTGAGTTATGATATTTGTAACATCTTGGAAATTGTAATTTTTTAATATTTTTATACCCTTGCAGGGTATTATAATTTCAGTCAGAAGTTTGCAACGCAGTGAAGGAGGCACCTCCGACTATATAAAGTATATATATTCTTGATCAGGATCAACAGCCGAGTCGATCTAACCATGTCCGTCTGTCCGTCTGTCCGTCTGTCCGTCTGTCCGTCTGTCCGTCTGTCCGTTTCTACGCAAACTAGTCTCTCAGTTTTGAAGCTATCTGAATGAAACTTTGCAGTTAGTCTTCTATATACTCTCACTCGTATATATGTCGGAACGGGCCGGATCGGACGACTATATCATATAGCTGTCATAGGAATGATCGGAAAAGTTTTACAAAAAAATTATAAAATTTTTAGTTTTCAACAGAATTTGATCAAATTTGAGATATAGCCATTTCATATTATTCTACAATTTTGTGAAAAATTTTATGAAAATCGGACGGCTATATCATATAGCTCTCATAGGAACGATCGAGAAATTAATTCAATTAATAAGTATAACATTTTCAGTTTTCAACAGATTGTCATCAAATTTGAAATATAGCCATTTCATATTATTCTAAAATTTTGTGTAAAATTTTATGAAAATCGGATTACTATATCATATAGCTCCCATAGGAACGATCGATAAATTAATACAATTAAATTTATAACTTTTTTAGTTTTCAGCTGATTTATCATAAAATTTGAGGTATAGCCATTTTATATAAGTCTTAAATTTTGTGGCAAATTTCATAAAAATCGGACGACTATATCATATAGGTGCCATACAAACGATCGTTTGATGTAGAGGAAAAATGCAAATCTGTGAATGTAAAACTGCAAATATAATATGTATAGGTGAATGAAATGAAAGCAGGTATTACTTCATTGTTTTTTAACACAAATATATATAATTAATATTGTATGGATTCCTATTCATAGAAGTTCTATCTGCAAGGGTATATAAACTTCGGCGTGCCGAAGTTAGCTTCCTTTCTTGTTGATACTAATATCCTAATAAAAATTTCCGAATTGATATTAATGCATTTTTGGCTGAGTTATGATATTTGTAACATCTTGGAAATTGTAAAAAATGATTAACAGTTTAAATTTTTTAATATTTTTAATACTAATATCCTAATAAAAATGAAGACAGAAAAGCTATTTTAATTGAGATTAATCTATGTTTGGCTTAGCTTCCCTTTTGTTTTAGCTTGAAATATAGGTTTGTTTTTATCCTGCTTAATTGTTCTTAATGAATTTTCAAAAATCCGCTCAATTTTGTGACACATTTTCGGAACTCTTCCATTTTTAGCACCGCACTGAGATCTTTGAGAACACTACCATTAGCCCTGCACGTAAGTTCCTAACTTTGTTTCTATATAACTGCTTTAATGTACAATATATTATTTATCTTATCTAGAACCCATGGAGAACTGGGAATTCAAGTCGGCCCAACGTGAGGGCTCCAATGTTCTTGGTTTGGTAATGTTCAGCGTAATCCTGGGTACCACCATTGGCAGGATGCGTGAAAAGGGACAATTGCTGCAGGATTTCTTTACCACTCTGAGTGAGGCCATGATGACCATCACTTCATGGGTTATCTGGTAAATTATCTAAAATCTATAAATTTAAAAAGTAAGTTAAGTAATAAATTTCTCTTTTAAGGATTTCCCCATTGGGCGTGGGTTTCCTGATAGCTGCCAAGATCATTGAGATGGAGTCGATAGCTGCCACAATACAATCGTTGGGATGGTACTTTATAACAGTCATGATAGGACTCTTCCTGCATGGTTTTGGTAAGTACTTTAAATTATTTTCTATTAATATATAGAATAATATATAATGTTATCAACCTATTCCAGGTACCATTGCTGTGATCTTCTTCCTGGGCACCCGACGACTTCCCTACCGCTATATTGCCAAGCTCAGCCAGGTTTTGGCCACGGCCTTTGGCACCGGCTCTAGTTCTGCCACAATGCCACTGACTATCAAGTGTCTGGACAACATGGGCATTGATCCACGAGTCACTCGCTTTGTCATTCCTGTGGGAGCCACCATTAACATGGATGGAACTGCTCTCTATGAGGCAGTGGCTGCCTTATTTATTGCCCAATACCGTGAGATGAGTTACTCTTTTGGCACTATTGTGGCCGTGAGCATAACAGCAACGGCAGCTTCCATTGGAGCCGCAGGAATTCCACAGGCAGGACTTGTCACCATGGTAATGGTGCTGGACACTGTAGGCCTGGAGCCGAAGGATGTGTCCCTTATTATAGCTGTGGATTGGTTACTGTAAGTTGGGAAATTGGGAGCTTATTTATTGAGCTGAATATTAATATAATTTATATTATTTATATAGGGATCGCTTCCGTACCACCATTAATGTGATGTGCGATGCCCTGGGTACTATTTTGGTGAATCATTTGTCGAAGAACGATCTGGCCAGCGTGGACAGGGTGAGTTTGATTACTACAAGAACATATTAATAGAACCACTGATATATTTATCAGATTTTTAATCAATTATCCTTAATCCTTAATCTCGAATATATATTATCTTTCCCACAGCTGAATGCCGAGCCCCATGAGCTCCTCGAGCTGGGCCCCAATGGTCACGAGATGAAGGAATGAAGGCAGTCTTCGCTTGGCGCCTATAACCGCAAACGATGAGTGGACATGTCCCGGCTGTGGGCCTGTTTCCACATCCTGCCCAGCAACGATAGCGACAGCGATGACTATGACGATGACGATGAGGAGTTTTAAAGGATCGTCGCAAGTTTAGTATCAAAATCGCATCGCTACTGGGACGGAGTCATCATGTTTGTTTTGCGGAGTATTTTGGGTGACCAAGTCGCATCTAATTTCCAGATTGATTAATTTTGAGGCAGAGCTCCTCCGGCGGAGAGGGGAAGGAAGTCTGCCGGAGTACAAGTACTAAAGCCAGCAACGAATTTATGTGACACATTCGTTATCTAGTTTGTTTTTCCGAAAGTTAAGGAGCGCAGAAAGCGAGGACAAATAAGATTTAAGTTGAAAACAAAAGAACTTTATCGTCTAAATTAGGAGATACTTTCACGGTGTAAATAATTTTTAAATATAATTATATTAAATTGAGTTCAAATTTGCATTACACTCTCCCCCATATGCCTAGTATTATTAACAGCAAACAAAACAAAAAACGAAACGAAAGAGTAAACAATCCGAGCTCCATGCAATTGCATTTTCTTAGAAATCTACAAGTCCTTCGAGATTCGTATCTAGTATTTGTTAATGGTTATTCTACGAGTTTTCCGACATAGCGATTACAACAATAAAAAAAGAAACACAAACAAAAAGACAAGAAGATAAATAGAACGAAAAATAAGTTACAATTACTAACTAATAAAAATATCAATTAAAATCGAATCAGAATTACAAATGCCGTTACAAGTTCGTGTTCATAGTTGAGCTTTGTAAATACTTAATAGCTTAAGTATACATATTATAAATCTTTATGGAAAATATTTATATTTAAAGCGTGGCAAACGAATTCTTGAAAGACAATAATAGCGACAAGCTGTCAATTTATACGCATAACAAATTAATTGAATATTATTAACGTAAATTTAAAACCCCACCATAGATCCAGAGTATACAAGAAAGTAAACAAAACACAAATTTAAAACATATTTCAACGTTTACCATGCTTTCAGCCAAAAAAGGGAAAAGAGAGAATTATTTAGGTTACGAATCATCAAAATGTTTGTAGTTGTGCGTAGTCTAAATATATGTTTACTAATAAAACTTTATGAATATTTAACGAAACATCCACCTTTTAATAGGTTCAATTACTGATATGAGGTTTGAAGGGCACTGCAACCACGGTGGAAAGTCATGGAAAAGCTTGGAAAATCAAGCTTTTGGCCAACTTGCTTGGCTTGAGCATAGATGGCGTTTTGGTTAAAAGAAAATATTTATTTTAAGAGATTTTCCATTGATTTATAATCCTTATTATTAATAATATTTGGTGAGAAGGAAAAGATTCAAGTGGTAATTTTCCACACCTCTTAATTGATATAAACAAGACACTTTGCTTCCCTTTATTATATTTTCAATAGTTCAAAAATTATTTAACCTTATTTATATGGCTTAAAGAATTTAAAGTTTTTTATGTAAATATAACATAGTACCCCCTAAAATTGTTGAAATGCACTTGAGCCAAAGTTTTGACTTTTAGTTTCCCTTTAAAGTTTCCACTGCCTTTGATCTATTCGGGGTCCCACCTGTACACCCCATTTCCATCATCCCCCACCTTAAACCCTTTCCACCGGATAACCCTTCTCCGGGAAAAACAAACAACAAATAAAAGGACATAACAAAGAGCCAAGCACACCAAATAAAATATTGGAGTGTGAAAGGGGAAGCACACAGAGTGATGAAGGGAAAACTTTACAGTTGAGTTGAAACTGCAGCCAGGTCATCAAAACTATATATAAAATTCTGACAAAAAATATATAAACAAAATATAATTTCAAATAATTTCAACATACTTCGATGGGTTTTTAAATTTGCTTGCAAGTTTTCATAACAATTATCTTAAAGTTTGCTTGGGGAACAAAATCAAAAGACTTATATACATACACTTTTTAAAACCAACATCTACACCCAACACCTACACCTGGACAGGAACCCCTCGCAAAATGTCATTGCTTCACTTTATTCAAAAGCCTAAGTTTTCGGAAATTGTTAAGCATAAATTTTAGTGAATTGCCAACAAACAATCAAGGTTTGCAATAAAGCCACTATTGTGTTGCCCAAAATATGCCCCAAACCAGAAGTTAAAGACGATTCAGTCCACGCCAATGCCAGTCATGTTGCAAAAGGATGTCCATCCGGGGCGACCACAGCGTCCAATACACGAGGAGGTGAAGAAACTATCGGATGCCCAACTGTCCATGATGTGCCACAACTATCGTATTTTTCCGGGTGCGATCACCTTTCGGAATCGGCGACAAGCCGAGCGCCAGCTGCACATTGCTCTAATCGAGGAGCGGGCTCGTCACCGGGCACGTCAGCAGTTCGCCGAGGAATTGAGGCAAGAGCATTCCGAGGATCCCAATTTTCGGCCAGGTCCTCCTCCCCCGCAGCAGCACTATGATTTCAGAGCAGCCTTGCCACCGCCGGCGGCTCCTGCCCCGCATTACTGGCCCGTGGCAAGAACTGTCAATATGCGTATTAATCCACCACCTAGTAGTACCTTCCAATATCGCCAGGAACCCGTTCTGGAGCCCCATCGGTATGTGAGCTGGCAGCAACAGAACAGGATCAACAAGAAAGCTACACAACAGAGTTTTCACCGGCCAGTTGAAGTTCAAGCCAGCGACGAGGGCACTGAACTCAATTTCCTCGGCTTTACGCTGCCCTTCACACTGGAAACGGCCAGGGATATCACCAATAAAATAGGTGAAACTCTCAAGCGTTTCCAGGCCGTTGGGGATAGCCAGGCGGCGACTAGGTTCGAGGGAGGGAGTCAAGGAAAATACGAGGTAAGGAATACCGAGAATGTTGCTCATCATCAGACGCATCAAAGTTCATATCAGACAAGCACCATGAGTGAGCGTAGCCAAGATGCATCTGAGGAGGAGTACCAGGAGGACATATCCATAGGGGAAGGTCTGGAAATGCCTCACGAGAACGATAGGGATACGCTATTCGATTATTTGCAGGATGACAGTGTGCTGCAGACCTACGTACCATCCGTTTCAAAAGTGAAAACTCTGGCGGATGCTCAGGCTCAGACTGAACTGGTTGAGAACTCCAGTAGCGTCAGTACGGCCACCACCTACCATGATTTTTTTAGCCATGAGCCGCTGAAGAAGGCGGCGGGTCACTCTTGGTGGTCTTGGTGGCCCAAACGGGCGATGGCGGGAGACGAGCGGATTCCGGTGGCGGAGCAGACCCGCGAAAGGGAGCACAAACACGAGCACGAGGTGAAGTCCATTGACTATTTGAGCGACTCAACGCTGCATGCCGACGATGGGGTGCTGGAGCTAATGCCAAGGGTGGAACTCCGCGATGACAGCGAGGAGGAGGACTTGGTTGTCCTGCCGGATGGCAGCCTAAGTACCCAACCATCGCCACGTTCCTACGCCGGTTTCTGCGGGTCCATTTTCCGGTTCCTTCTGTGCGATCGGGACGCAAAACTGGACCCGGAGAAGCTACGTGCCGCTTTCCTTGGCTGCTGCATGGCCTTTGCCATTTATATGGGCTTCAGGATGATACGATAGTGGCGAAAAACTAAAGCTAAGAATGTTTTAAATTATGTTTTTGGCTGCAGACTGAGCTAATAGGTTTTAAGGGGATTGAAATAGTTAAAGAGATGCAAGCAACATAAAAGGCTGATCTTTTTTTCTATTCAAACTCTTTGGTGGCTATTTAAACCTTGGAAATAATTGAAACAATTTCTGAATGGAATGAAACACCATCTCTGAACATATTACAACTATTCCCAGATGCAGATGCCCCTGCAACCTGCATATTACTCATCCGCCACGTTGTGCCAGCTGAGAGAAATCGTGTCTACCTTCCGAAATTCCCCACTTTCGACTCGGAGCGGAAATGAAACTGTAATTATATTTATGACAGCCTCAGCCGGAGCCTCTCAAAAGTCGCTCTGCTCCTTGGCGGCGGTTGTCCTCCCAAATGGGATTTCGGGATTGCATAAAAATGAGCCCTGTAAGTCACCTCCTTCGTCCTTCCGCTGGTGCGAAAATCTCGTTGCCGTTGCACCGATGCGCAAACTTAATGACTTTCAGCAAATTGCCCAACTCGAATCTGCTTACTGGACCCACTTTTCCGCCTTCCCGGCAAGGTGTGCCCATAAATCTTCTTAAATGTCACAAAATCAACACGTTTACCTAGTCAGACCAAGTGCAATAATTAATTTACACAGGTAAATGTGGATGCTCATCTCTCTCTGTTTATATTTCTCTCAGCTTGACCCTGTTTTTTCTGGAACATAATTTGGCCAAGAGATGAGCATTTGGATGTTTGCGAAATAGTGCAATAAACATAGAGAACAAGAAAGATATTTAAAGTAAAGAATTTCATCATGCCATCCTGAATCGTTTGGATGGTATTAATTCCATATCTTCAATCTCCTCTCCAGCATAATTCAGACCCAATGTGAAATTGTTGTGCAGTCTCTGGCAGTCTATAATCCCCACCGTCTTCCAGTTGGTTTTGTTAAAATGATGCAGGCTCACCGCACCACCCGTGGTGTCACTGGCCAAGCCGGCATAGTAGACAGCGCGATAGGCAAGATCATAGGCCTCCTTGTCGTTGAGATGGTAGTGAAAGCCATCGTCCAGGACACCAAGAGCACTTTCCGAACCACTGCCTATGGCGAACACAGAGCCCTGGTAGATGAAGCCCTCGCAATCGATGCGGATTAAACCGGGTCCAGATACATCCTTGCCGGCCAGTATCATTCCCATACCGAGGTTGTGGCCATTCATCTTTTCATCCATTGCCGCATTGCTGATAAATGTGGCCGCGGATAGGAGAGGCAGCGGCTCATTGTGCTTTAACTCGTGAAGGCCGGACTCCCAGGCCAGAGTACGGATCCAAAAGGAGCATTCCGCAGGACGGCCGGCCACCGTGGCCACGATCTGATTACTCACAGGGAAGGCCTTTATCATGCTTTGCGATCGAAGGATATTGCCCTGGGTGACTCTTGAGTCCTCGCACAGTATGATGCCGCCCTTGTAGATAAACCCCACAGAAGCGGTTCCATAATATTTCTCACCTCTGCGAGTTCTTCGACGAACCGGGGATGCTGCCATGGCATTGATCATTTTCCCAGATTTATTGCCGCTGGAAAGCCTGTAGGGAATCGCGAAGTAATTACTATGGAGAGCAAGGAATATTATTTTTGTAAGTTTTGGTACTTGTAAAAATTCCGAATGCCACCTGAGATATAACAACTCAGTTATAGAATATATACAGACTGTAAATACTCGTTCACTTAAAAAAAAAAAAAACGAAACCGAAAGAATATTGTTAGCAAAACTAAACAATTTGTTTTTGATTCCCGTGAGCTGTGAATGTGATCCGTTTCAAGCTACGAAGTGGAATGACGAATTACAGTAGAGTTGTGAGTTGTGTGAGTTTTAAAGTAAACTCATGGCTTACTTTTTAAAATCGATTAAGTAGATTTTTAGAGTTTGGAAGAATAATCTTACTCGGTTTGTTTCCAGCTATTTCTTCTTTGCTGTTACGATTTATCCAAGTGATTCCAAAACTTAATAAAAGTATCTGGTAGATATGTGGAGTTCTATTAAGCCGGTCTCCATTTTTATTTCGAAACAATGCAATTTATATCCGTTGAATCTGCTTTGATTTGTCTTTTTTGTTTCTTCATGTTTGTAGTTTGCCTCCGAAATTGGCTATTGATCACTGTGAGTTAAGTGGCATTGAAGATAATCAGTTTTTCGAGATCCCCACAAGCTCTCCTTTCTTATCGCGCTCCAGCTGGAAAAGGGTTAGAGTATCGCCTGAGAGTTCCGCAGCTCCGTTGCGCTTTCTATCAACAATATGCTTAACGCCAAAGAGTACGGTCAGGACGAGAGTGGCTAGGGATATGGTGAAGGCACCGCGACTGGAGAGGCTCCTTAGAACTATGGACTGACTGTCTCGAACTCTCGGCATCCAGTGGCAGGCACTGATCGCTGTACAGGCACATATCGTTCCTAAGAATGGAACCCAATAGGAGTCACGTGGCCTGCTGCTGTCAGAGCCCATCTCTCTCAGGCGACTCTCGAAGGCCATTATGTCCTCCAGCACCTGCTGTTCTTGGTCCGCACGAGAATGCCGTGACATCACGTCCTCATCGTATGGCCATCTCTGACCGCGACTCCTCAGGTCTACCGTCGAGGTTGAAAGTGAATTTAAACTCTGGGTGGAAGTGGGTTTCAAAAGGTGTGTTGAAGACCGTTCCATGGAGTTCATAGCGGAAAAAGGAATATAATTTAAAATAAAATGTCAAGGTGAGTGAGACTGGTATTGATTTTGAAAGCAAAGAATATAGAAGCATAGAAATATATGTACGTATATACAATACAATAAAGAGATGTTTTAGATCTTGCCAAGGAATATCAACAAATTCAAGACTATTGAATTGACTTTTAATCGTTTGAAGTATATATCTCTTTTTGAAATTAAGTCGCTATAAACATTTACCCAATTACTTTGCCTGTTTGTCTGTAAACTCATCTCGAACAGAACTCGAATCAAATGCAATTGGCGTAGCCGAAAGAGAGACATAAATAAAAGTTTGGCCATAAAACCGCAAAGAGACATAAAATGGGCATAACAAATTTAAATGCCATAAACAATTGGCAACAAAGTAGCCGCCTGTGCCTCGGTTTTTGGGGCGAACTATAGGACAAATTGCACGGTTTTTGACTTCTCTCGAATTGCAGACAATGCGAGTTAAAATCTGCAGCCATAAAAGCAGACGTTGGGTATTGGTTTCGATGGTTTTTTGGGGAATATACATACATACACAAATTGAGACACTTGGTGGGATTGGAACTTTCAGTTTGTCTTTATGCCAATTCAATTTACCGACAAATCGTTTCAATGCCGAGCCAGAGACTTAGTCGGGAAAAGCAGAGCTCCTCCAGGACACCGAAGGAAATAAACATAAAATGCCAACGAAAATGCGGCCATTTAATTTATATTCTGGCAGCATTAAATGGCATTTTAATTTCTATGGAAGTCGTAAAAAGCCATGAAAAGTACTCTTCCCTACTCCCTCTCGTTCTACCTCGCCTCCTTTCATATTTATGTCTATAAATTTATTTTGCACTTTTCCATTTCTCAATTGCGTGCAAAAGATTTTTACATTTAATTCAATTTGGCATCTAATGGATGGGGCTCGGGTCTGGGTCGGGGGAAAAACCTTGGTCGAGTGGGCGGTGGTCAACATTGCTTACCAACTGGGGCGTGGTCATGTCTGTTTTGTAGTCGTTGCGTGAATTATGGTCCTGGCTACTTAGTGTGGCCCTCCCCGGAGCCATCTTTTCCAAAAACTCTGAAATCCGGTGGACGCCCAGGCTAAATTACCGTTACAAATTTGCTTCATACTCCTCTTAGTCCTGTGCATCCTGCTCCGAAGGAGTCCAGAAATCCAGGAGCTACGGACTTCCCCTGCCCGGCAAATGTCATACAAAATTTATTCGCTCTACGTGACTCTGCCGCAAATCTTCGCTTAGTCCTGTAGGGTCAAGCAATTTCGTATCCTGGGCTAGTTTGAGACACTCCATGTTGATGTTGCTAATGGTTGCCATAAGGATAAGGGAGGTTTACTCATGGTTCGTTGGGTGAGGTTCTTGTAAGCCCTCTACGTTTGATTTGAAATTCGTTGAGAACTATTAAAAATGCATTTATTATATGTAAACTTCAAAGCTTTAAACTTTCCTTTAATACTATAACAATTAATGTAGCAAATTGTGTATTCATGGCAAATTTGCTGATGGTTTCCCTCATGTCTTCACTCGACAAAAACTTTCCCAAAACTCTAAACGATGCAAGCTGCTCCACATTTGGCGCCATTTTTGGCAGGGCCAATTTCCACCAGAATAAGTTGCCCAGCATCTTTTGGCCTAATGAATGGAACTGCAAACAAGCCAAACTAAAAGCTAAAATAGGGGTTAGGACAAGGACAAAGGGGGTGGCTCTAACCCCACGGGATAAAATGCAATTTTGTAATTGACTCACAATCAGTCGAGCGGAAGTTGTTTAGCTATGCAATATGGCTGCCAAATGCGACAAACGGATGCAATTTGTGAAATATGCACGAAATAAGACGGCGAAAAAGAGGGGAAGTTTTAGTGGGAGAGAAGGTTTTAAGGAATGGCAATGGAGTCGCACCCATTGCATTCCAATTCCAACAGAGATTGAAATGTCAATCCGTTTAGGGGGAGTGAGTGAAGAGTGAGAGAACCCCCCATGTCCATGTTCGTGTTGCTGTTCCTGTTCCTGTCTCTTCGCATGAGTGCAACATGTTTGTCAGCTAGTTTTCGATGCGATTTTTTACACCCTTCGCTGGTTTTCCATTCAAGGGTATATGGAGGACCCTTTAAGGGGATAAATGAGGGTCATAATAAAGTGAAATTTATAAATGCTTGAGCTTTAATAGTGTCTCTGAAAAGATACTTTCTTTGGATTGAAATGACACTGCAAATGTCTTTCAAAATCAACTGTTCCCTTATATTTTCACCTAACACTCTTGGCAAGCTTAGTTCTCTTTCCTAATAAATAGCTCTAAAAGGTATTTATTAGTCGTAGTCGTAGGATGAGCTACTTTTTTGCAGTCTGCCACTGAGCCGCTGAATGTTGCCAAAATGTCGTCCCAATGTCGCCCACATGTCTGAGCTGCATGTCTCGCCCGAATGCCTGAATGCCCGAATTCCGCTGACAGATGTTCCACCTTTGGACAGGAACTGCGGTGGCAAACTGTTTGGGTACTTGGTCCTGGTACCTGGGTCCCAGTTCCTAGAGGGCCCAACCTAATAGTTTTTTATGTGCGGTTTTCGCTTCAAGTTCTGCCTTTGACCTGCCATAAACGAACAATTTGTGTAATGCATTTGGTGAATGATGCGATGGGAGAGGAGGGCCTGGGGATTGGATCCCGTTAGTCGAAAGGGAGGGGACAGGTTCTTTTTTTTTGTGTGTGTGTGGGACCCATGTCCATGATGTCGATGTCCGGGAAGGAAGTCGTTCGGTATGCAGTTTCATTTTTTATGCTCACAGTTTTCCGAGAGATGTGCAAAAAGTTTGCACATAAAATGTTTACATATCGCCATTTGCCTGTTACTAAAATACCAGTAAATAGTCCGTTTCATAGCTTTAAAGTATTTGGAATATTTTAGAAGATTTCCTTTAATTGAAATCTGTAAAGTATTAAAAACGAACAACAAATCTTACATTTGTTATGCAAAATAGGTTTGTACAAGTGTTTTAGAAACTTTTTATTTAAAGCTTGTTAAGTTGTATATGCAAATTGTAATATTTTATATTTTATTTGTATTTAACGTTTTTATTTTGTATTTCCAATTAATCTTTATAGCAATGAAACGCTCTGTAAACCGAACGTGAGCTTTACTAAGCTCTGCTATTTTGTGACTTTGATTCTATATTTTGCTGGTTGAAATTTGTTTTTACAAGATATTACATTATCCAGCCCATCACACATTGAAGTAGTTTTCGCATTCTGATTGAAATTATAATACCAAATTATAGTACGAAAGTCAGGTTCAGTTTTGAAAGTATCATATGGATAAGAAGTCAATATTCATGAATAGTTAATATAGTTATTATATAATTAACTAAGGCACTTTAAATTAATATAAAGTAGAGGCATCCATGGAAATAAGGGTATTCATATGAAAATTAATGCATGGTTAGCAGCACAGCTGACTTTCAGTCTAGGCCTAATCACTTAATTAGTATCTATTTAAATAATATAATTATCATGGTAAAGACTTACCCCAGTGGAGGACACGTGGCTATCCGTTGTCATCATTGCTCAATTGCTTCCGGTGTAGATTTACATATCCGGTGACTTTAAGTTAAACTTGATCCTCCAGATGATGAGCCATGGGCCACGTCATATTTTCTTGTCGCAGGGTAATCACTATCACTATCACTGTCACTCTAGATGTTAACACTGGAGACTCCACGGACGTAATGAGGTGCGCAAGGCGGCAGAGCTCCGTATTTATAGGCTCCGAGTCAAGAGAAGAGAGAACGTGAGAGCGAGAGTGTAAGAGGTACCTCTAGAGTTAGACAGAGCCAGATAGAGCGTAAGCGGTTTCTCTAGAGAGGGAGGGAGAGTGAGGGAGGGACATACCGATCGATAGAGGTAATTTAATTTAAATATTTATAATGGATAAGCCCCGCTTTCAGCCAATATTAAAGCGAATGCTTTACACATTAAGCCTGAAAGCGACCTCAAGTTGCATTTAATAAATTCAGTAAAATTACTACTGCCTCAATCTGCTCACAATTAAGGACGAATGGCATCCCTTTCCTTCCACCAATCAAGCTAAACAAACGCTCACTTAACCAACTCGAATACAAGCAAAACAAATACCATTTCGCACAAAAGTTTACCTAATTAATGGAAAGAAAGAAAAAAGAATTGGGAGAAGGATGGAGATCAACCCATCTACAGGCCCGCAGCAAGATGTGTTCTTACTCTTATTCCTACTTGTATATATTTTTTTGTGATGCAAATGTCAACAATTAATTTGGAGGCAAAATATGCGCAGTCTCACAGAACAAATAAACAAGCGCGAATAAGAAAAAAGTTGAGAGGAAAATTGCAAAAGGCAAAGTAAACAAGGGGCGGCAAGGTGGAACTCAGTACTGGCAATTAAAGTTGAGACTGCCGAGGCGGAGATCCAGGACCAGATGAGCAGCTGGCAACCGGCAACCGGCGAAATCTTGAGGCAGGAGCAGGTGGCATAATGAAGTCGATTGGAAGTTGAGTTCACTTGAGCTGGAATAATTTGTTTTAATGTTTATGTTCGGCCCCGAGGGGAATGCAAAGTAGCTATGAAATTAACGAGAATATTATGATGTTTGCCACTGAATATGAAATTTGCCTAGAAACAAAAATTCAAGCACACATGGCGTATACATAATATTTTTGAATTATTTTAAAAGCCTTATTTTACGATCAGACAAAGCTATAAGAGAAGTGTCCTTGCCACCTTGGCTCATTAGCGATTCTGCTCAGGTTCAGGAGAAAGAAAACAAAGCTAAGCATGAATATTTGATGGCATCTTGAGGACTTTAAACTTTACCACTTGGACCCAAATAATCGATCCGCATCATTGACCATCATGTCCGGTCCTTGGTCCAGTGTTTGGATAAAAGGGAACGGAACAAGGGCTCAACAAGCCACTTTAATAACAGCCAAGAGCTTTTGCCTTTCCTTTTTCATCTCGCTTTCATTTACATGTCCTGTGGAGCAGGACTCAGCTCTGTCAGTTGTATTTGATTGATTTGTTGGGCAATTTGCCGCCGCCTGTTGTTCTGTTTGTTGGACTTTGGCACAAAGTTGTGTATATGCCAGTGTCTCCACTTCCCAGTCCACTTAAATCGCTTTTCTGCCACATTCATGCATGATTTATGTTTGAACATATCATAAAGCTGGCACAGAGCTCCAGCTCCAGCTCCAGATTGAATCCAGAAACTTCTCGCCACTTAGATCCCCTTTTGAACTGGGCCGCTGGCCAGAAAGTCTTTTGCCTGGATCTAGGGTTAAATCAATCAAAGACTTAATGGCTTATTGTGAATATATGTATTCTCACATCGACATTGAACTTGCCTGAGGGCCAATCAATCAAGTGTCAGTCTGTGCGATAATTAGATTAATAAATTGATCGACAATTGTTTAGCGCAACGAACAACAAGAGGTTTTCTAAAAATACATATAAGGAACTAATAGGAAAATCTTCCTAGATACAGGAACTACATGGGTTTGGTACCAACTAAAATGAGTTTTCAAAAGTTTGGCTTTTCCAAGATCTTCCATGAAAATGTTAGATTAAGTTTAAGCCATTATTTTAGCATTAAGGTATTAGATTGATTTAAAAAATAGGAATATTTTAAAATTAGTTATGATCGACTTCCTATTCAATTCTACAAATCAATTGAATACTGTAAGGGTATCTCAACTTTAAATTCACGATGTTATTTTTACTTTTACCCGCCATATATTCTCTATAACCCTTAATAAATTTAAGGTCAAAGAGTCCATTAGTGGTCTAAAAGTATGATGCTTCCCATTTCCCTTAATTCTTTCTGAAGAAGAAAAGGTAAGCACTAGCTCTCTCGCCTTTGATGGAGCGCAATTATGGCTATCGGTACCATGGGTCGTATACGTAATAAGAGTATTAATTAATTCTGGCAGCAGACAACCAACCTCTGCAGTTTATGGCAGACAATCGAGTGAAGAAAGCCAGGCTAATTGATGCCAGGCGACATTCTCCCCATTTTGACCCCAATGAACTGTTACCCCGGGGGTTAACATTGTTTTTCCATCGTCACTGCCAAGTACAATGTACGTGTGGACAAACAAAGGCCAGGAAAACTGAGCACTGATTGATTGAATTTCTGTTTCTGTGGCAAAAAGGCTTCCAGTTAATGGATCAATGCCGTTTTGTTTACTTTGCCGACATGCTCGTGTACACTAAAACCCACACAGATTCCCACTCCTCTCGTCTCGACTTCCATTGTAATGAAGTCAAGGCGATTGGCAGTAAACAAATTGGTTTCCTCAATGGTAAATCTAATGAGTGAGATAATTAAATTGATCGAATAAATTGTTGCTTTAAATTTGTTAAAGTGTAGTACGGAATACGGAATGTAAGCACTTGTTTAGAGGAGAGCTTGTCTCTAAAGTATTAGGAGACTATGGACAGCTATGGAAATCCATATCTTATATTGATCTTTAAATACAGTTCGTAACAATCTAGAAATGTAAACCCAGTGTTAATTATATTTCTATGCAAAGACTCTAAATATTGCTTTACAATTACCATATTTATATAAGAAATTTAAACTGCTTAACCTACATAATGAAGCAAACATCAGTGGGGAAGCAGTTTTCACTCGCTCTATGGTGCTCAAATTGCTAATGAATTTAATTCACACACACACTCACACACACACACAATTGAGGGACAGGACGGAAACGGAAATGGGAAGGAAGGCATAGAGGCGGAGCAGGAAACAGTGCTGTCGCCATGCTAACATGTGATGTCGGCGACAAGTGAACTCTGCCTGTTGTCGGAAAATCTAATAACGGACAGCGCGCAAACACAATAACAGTTTGTGGTAGTTGCTGTGTATTGCTGCCGGTTTTAATTTGTGCCGGGACCTGCATATTAAGTGAGGTCAGGCACCGCCCTCGAACTGATTGGATTCAACTGCGAGGATGGAGCGGAACGGTTACGGAATGGATCAGATCGGTTCGGGGGCGTAACGTGGCGTTTCCAATTGATCCGTCGCGGCTAAGCTTTGTTCGGAGATTAAGTATACGCAACGTGTGACCCTGTATGAAAAGTAAACCTAAATGCTAACGAAGAAAATCCAGGCATTAGGCAGGTCTGAAGCCTACGCGGCCCCGGTAGCAATTCCCAACTATGGTGTATATATTATATCGTTTTCGCATAAACTCCATTTTCATCAGCATAAATCAAAACTGAACTGCAGTTCATTTGCATGGAGCAGAGCGACGAAAATTGTTTGAAAATCTATTTCAACTTTGCAGACAAATCATATTTTCGTAGCGGCCAGAGCGACGGGGGCTTTCAAACTTTCCGCCAGCAGAAAAACTTTTATTTTCCACCGCCATCATCGGTGGGCAATGAATATGTTTGTTTCTAAATTTTGAACCTTAGCCCAGGCATTGCTCTCTGCACTCCTCTTCATCGTCGAATATATTTTTCGTGGCCTCGCAACCGCCATACAGGAAGGACTCGCACAGTTTCTTTTCCTTGATGAAGCGCCACGAAGGAAAGGCAGCCTTACAGGGTCCCGTTTGGCTAGGCTCGTCATAACAATTCTCTAGGGGATTAACTTCAGACATTAACTTCAATGATGATCATCCTCCTTGCTAGCCAACTTACGCGACCCGCTAGCCCAGAGTCCGGCCACCAAGAAAAGCAAAATAATGCATATATTATACTGGAATTTCATTTCCAAATATTTGTACTACTATGTTCTGTGGTGACAATGTTTACAATGATTGGGGGTGGCAGGGATCTCACCCAGGCTCAGACACAGAGATTCAAAGTCCTGTGAGGTAATTCATACTTCAAGATTTGGTACTCTACTCTAAATTCATATTTATTGTAATATTAGTGTCTATTAGGTGGGAAAAATGAACGTACACAGGCTGAGTAGCATTCTGCTCTAGTATTGAATATGTTTTCTCTGGCCCCACAGCCGCCATAAATAAAAAAAAAACAAAAATTATGATATGGACTGTAAGTCCATCTTTCCAGGCGACCACCACATAAGCCTCGATTGGAGGTAGGAAGAGTGCATCGTTCTATAAGATAAATGTTCTAAAAGTGTTTCTTATTGTAACGAAATATAATGTTTATACCTGAGCTATATGAAACTCTTGAATATACAAAGTCTAGAAATGCAATTAGAGCTAGGAAAATATAAAAGAACTTGAATTGAGCGAGGTTCTTCATCATTAAAATGCAGCTAAAAACTGAAATAATATGTAAATTGTTACAGCTAATTGGATAATTATATTAATGAAGTGAGACGGATTTGGTCAAGGGAACCTATGGAACACACTGAAACTTTCTTTACTGTATTAATATATTAACTATGTATATAGGAACATTTCTAAGACAGAACCGCTACGAGTTGTACCCTATATATAAATTTAAATTAAAATATAAATCAATAGTTATTCAAAGGAAAGCCAACTCGCAGTTGACCACAAAACACTCGGTTCACACTACCTTATGTGTCTAGGTGTCCGTTATGGCAGCTGGAAAATGCCACATTCACACATTGACCCCGCTCGGCCTGGCTGGGGGCTTTATTGATTCGCTATTATGCTTTCACATTCTGGCTGGCCTAAACTGATTTTTAATGCCGCCAAAATCCATTTTGCCGGAATGGGGGAGGAGCCAACTCTGCATATTTCCAAATTGTATGTCCCTGTTCATTAGATGGGACTCCATTTTCACTGGTCACTGCGGTCAGCTGCGGGGGTGTGTTCGGTTTAGGACATTCACAGTTCATGAGCCGCAGACCATTTCGGTCACACTGTGAGTGGCTCTTTTCGCCCTTTTTGTCAGCTTTAACCGGCCCATCAGCCGCTTAAATGGCCTATTTCGAGAGATATCTGTTTTGGCAGTGCAAAATTTGCACGCAATTTGTAGGTATGCGATTGTTAGAGTGGATTTGAGATAAAATTTAAGCTTAGAAAAAATATTTAAAAAATTGAAGGAGTCATTAAAGGAAAGGTGTTAATTTAAAACCTAAAAAATCAAATAAGATGTACTTTAAATCATTTAAAACTAGAAAATTTACATGAACGGTTTACTAAAAATTAATTAAAACGTAAATTAACGCAAAACAAAACCTCTTTATATATTTTACAACCTATAAACTTGTATAAAAAATATTAGAAAAATCAATAAACACCTATTTTCAATCTCTTTCCTATCCCAAATTATTTGTCTGTCCATCTCTAGGCCACATTTTATTCTGACATTATTATTCATTAATTACACAGGTTGACAGCCACTGAATCACAACATTCGTAATATTGCCAGGCAACCTGGCAGGCAGGCACTCACTCAGTAAAAAGGGGATTCACCGAGCCTGCTGGCATTGGGATTTCAATTTGAACACGTACTCAAACCCCAAGGAATGGGCGTGGGAGACAGTTTCGGGCGAGAGAGAGCGAGTTATTTATACTGGGGATATAGTCGAGTTGCCTGTTCTTCCAATAAGCCATTGATACGATAATGTATCTGCTCTGTTTTTTTATGTGTGCATGTGCAAAAGTGTGTTTGTGCCAGCTTAAGTTGGCTTTTTGAGGGATTTGTCAGCGCGAGCGCCTCGACATGTTTATTTCCCGGCGGGAGTTTTGGGATTGCATTTATGAGAGCATTACGTATACGCACAGTTGGCTGCTTGTTTTTAAGAGTGGAGGGAGCAAAGTCAAAAATATTTATTTATTCATTTGGTGGGAAAATCAATGGGAGAGAACATGCACTCGCACAATTAGTTGTGTAACGAAAAAAAAGGGTTCTCCTCGGGGATTACTAAATTTGGCAATTCCAAGAATAAATGTTCAACATTATCCAACTGAGGTCCACCATTAGCCAATGAGCCTAGCACTTAATCGTGGCAGGCTACGGTTGACCAGGCCCTTTGTAATAGGAATTAACTGCTTTTTCCTCGACAAGGTTGGGTACATTTGAAGGTCATTTTAACTTCCTAACCAAAGACAAGAGGCACAGAGATGAGTGGAGGTCCTTTGAGAGTGTTGTATAATCTTTTATGGGGTTTGTTGTAGAAGGTCTATCCAGAAATAGTGATGAATTATGTTTAAATATAAAATAATGAATTTAAATGTCATCTATTGATTGTATAGCATTATTTCCTTAATCTTTGCCATACGAAATTTCATACTTCCACCCAAAATCCTTTCACAATATGCCTTTATCTCAAGAAAACCATTATTGACCGGTCCTTTTGTGATGTAAATATTCTGTTCAAGGATATCTCAAGACCCCTATCAATTGTTAGCCCCCCCACACAGTTCATTAACTAAACAAAGAACACCACATATATGTATGCACGCCCACACGAATTGAAATCTATTGACAATGTAATTAATGGCAACCCAAAACATTTCGGGCCAAAGTGCAAATAGCAGCTCAACAGGAGCAGCAGTAGCATCCGCATCAGGGACATCCTGTACAAAATCCTGAGTCCTTGTTGTCTCTGAGCAAATACACAATCGTGTCACGCCCACTGCGGCTCCCGCCCCAGTTTTATCGACGCCATTTCGTTACCGCTCACAAAGCGCAGTGTTTATTAGAAACCCGAAAACGAAACGCAAACACGGACCAAGCAAATATTTATATTTGACATTTTAGACAAATGCATGACACAGCTGTGGAAAGTGGCTTTTTCCCCTGCCACCGACGGGAGGAGGTGGTGTCACCAGTTGGATCAATCAAATCGCGCAATGAGCCATATGGAACTCCGGTGCCTCCCATCTGTGTGCGGCATTGGATTTCAGCGCAACTGTCAGCGAAAAATCCACATGGAAATGTGGCATCTACCGGCACAATGAGGGTAACCCAAGCCGCATGCAAATGTGATTAATTACAGGTGCGCAGGCAAGGATATTTGATGCGAAATTTGCATTTTTATTAGCTGTAAATCGATAGCCCAATGGATAGCCCCAACCGCAATGTCAACAAAAGGGGGGAACCGCAACAAATCGTCATCAACTTTTCAGTGAGAAAGGAAACTGAGGAAAACTCTTCAAGTTCCCTCAGTAAAGGACTTTTTGCCAGGCAAAATCAAAATCAAAAGACAAAAAGTTTTGCAGAAACCGCGCTCTTTCTTGAAACTTGTTCAACTTTTTGCCGCAGGAAGAAAGCAGCAACAGCAGCAACAGCAGCAGCAACCACAACAAGGAGCAACATTAACGGCAGCAAGTGAAATGACAACAGCAATCGGCGCTCATAAAGTTCAGAAAGTTATGTTGTTATATTATACTGATATCGGTTGTTGGTTAAGGCCACCTCCTTCTCCTCCTCCCCATCATTACGCACCGCTTCCACTTTCACTTGGCCATCCTCATTCATAGGGAAAAGTTTTATGTTTCGCTTCGAGAATTGATGTTGAAGGCTGAGGAGGACATTGACTGTGGTTTTTAAAGTCAAAGCCAAGCGAAAGATAAAATTTATTCCAAGTTGATAAGAATCGAAGGAAGCAGGAAGGCAGCATCAGGTTGAACTTGGCAAAGGTAAGTGAGTTTCACAGGTGTTTAAATTGTAAAGTATATTTATAATATCATTACCGCTTCTTGCAAATTATTGAGGCTGAAAGCAGGCTTGGAGCTTCCAGGAAATATATACAATTTTAACATTAGCTGGAGGGCTTATTTAGGTAACAACAAAACAATATAGAACAAGAAAAAGGAACAAGTCAATTCCGCTTAGCTAATTCCTTGTCAAAGTTTATAAAACATATATTTAAAGCCTTTAAAAAATCTGTATCTATTTCAAAATCAACTCAAATATAACCAGATCAAACACAATAACCTCAAATAAATAACATTTAGTGTTTGCTGAATATAAGTGTCGAATATCCTGCCGCGTCCTTGAACATTTTCCAAGTGCTAATGAATGTACGAAAGCCCAGGCAGCTCCCATTCAGTTTCCATTAACCGCAGCCACCGCCACCATCATAAATATTTCACATATCGCCGTTGTGGGCCACCAATTAAATTGCCGCACTGCAAATATCGGGGCCAGTGGAGCAAAAAATGAAAATGAGAGCTGAAAACGATAACGAAAAATCGTACCCAACTCAGAGACCCGTGGCAAAATCATTTTCAATTTCATTTATGAAAGCAAATAAATTTTTCAATTGGTTTTATTCTACCATTTTCGCCCTTAACCTCCTCCTCGCCTCTCCTCTCTCGCCTCCCACACAGCTTTCACTTTCGTTGCGAAACAAATAGAAATTCCGAAGGGCCGACAAGCAGACAAAATCAACTTCTGGCAAAGCTCCTTTCGCCGTGGGAATCCTTTTTCCACTTGCCGTGTGTTTTGTGCCCTGCCAATAAAAGCCTGCTCAATGCCCGGCCCACGTAGAGGCCGTAAAATGGGGCGTGGCCAAAGGTGTTTTGGTTGCCACCTTCGTCCTTCCAGGGACAATTTAATAAGCAGCCTAAGCGAGGACTCAGCACCGAAACTCAGCCGAGAACTTTGACTTGGCAAAGAGCCCCTGCACTTGTGGTCTGTGCATATTTTATACCCCAACGGCCACTTACACGCGAAAAGTTTCGTCCTAAGTCCCAGGTCGATGGGACAACACAAGGCTTTAAAGACACGCACTGTTGCTGTTTGGCCTAGAAGAAAGTTGGCTCAATTGTTGCGGTCAACAGACAGAGGGGTAAAGCAACAAGCTAAAAGCTTTAGATACTGAGTAGTCTAAAGGACGTTGGGCTAGTTATACTTGATATTTACTAATAACATAACTTTACTCATCTGGTAATTATCCTTGAAAACCTTGAACTTTTCTAAAAATGTGTTATAGATATTACTATTCATTTTAAAGTAGCCCAAGGATATACCTCCTTCGTGGGTATTCCAAAGTCGAATATCTTTTCACTAAAATCCAGTGACTTGCTTAGCCGTGTGTGCTGAATTCGAAATTAGTTTCGCTCGAATGCGAAATTATGGCTCTTTGCCATTCAGTTTTCCAGCACTAAGCTTTATCGACAAACGAATTTTTCCTTCCTTTCCGCGAACAGCTTGGCTCAATCTTTGGCCCTTTGATGTAAGAAGGAATGGAGGGCAGCTTCCAATAAAAATATATAAAAAAATATTTCATTTTGCATTAACTTGACAGCGAGAAGGAAACAAAGAGGCAAAAGAAGAAAAAGTAGAATATCGAAGCCGGACTTGGGGCGCTTTCAGGTTA